CGCTCCTGCGTAATTCCCCGTTGCAGTTTCGTGACGTTCGGCAATGTTCGTGAATCTCCGGTCGGCCACGCGGTTCTTCGTGATAGCGCGGCCGCGCCGCTGTATTCTCGCTCCGTGCGCCTGCTTATACGCCGCTCCACTGTCAGTGTCACTCCGACTGGCGTGCCGGTCGTTTCGTCGTGTCGACGTCGTGCGCTGTGTTCTCGCTATATATACATATAGACATATTCAATAACTGCGCGCTTCTTTTATGTTGTCGGTGTGCGTGACACGTATATCTGTGCGTTTGTTATTATCGTACCCGTGGTCGCCATCCTCGATAGGCAAGTAGGCAGACATAGGTGAGTGACGACGACACCTGTTGCGCGTGCGTGATTTTTCGTCGGTACGTTAACCTCTTCGTGTGCGCAGAGCGTATTGTACTTGCATGAAAAGGAAGATTCAAGAGAGAGAGAGAGAAAGATGGAAAAAAACAGAGGATATCGTACACTGCACGCTATGAAAAAGGAGAAATAAAAACGCAAAGATGACGTCCGACGGCCTTCGTCGCGCTCACGGTGGCAATTACTCTTTGTTGCTTGCTACGTGTGCCTGTGGCTCGAAGGCGCGAGTTCAATTCTTTATAACGCTATTGTTGCTTATGCACTGTTTTTTCTTTTTTTTTTTCTTTTTTTTTTTCTTTTTCACTCAGTCTCGATCTCCACGTCGCACGTGTTTTTCACTGCGCTTATTTCATTTTTTTCTCGCGTTGCGTCACGCGCGAACCAAACTGAGTTGTCGCTGCCTCTCGATTTTTTACGAGGAAAAGTAAAGTTTACGCAGGGAGGAAGAGAGAGAGAGAGACTCCACAGATAAGCAGAAGCGCGGCCCATCCTGTTTACACTGCGCAGCGTTGTCTCTGTCGAAAACTTTCCTCGCGCTATAACACTCCCAAATTTCCAATCTTCTCGCCTTTCGTGCTGTGCGCGCGCGCGCGCGCGCGTGTGTGTGTGTGTGTATGTGTGTATGTGTATACATCGAGAAAGAGAAAAAAAATGAGACAAAGAGTAGCAGAGGCAGCGCATCCAAGGCTGCTGCAATGCGGTTATGCTCTCTCTGGCATTCCAGCTAGATACGCGAAGGCCATGAAAAGTCCGAGAGAGCTTCCCTTTCGCTCTCCTTTTCCTCCACACATATATCCTTGCGCGAGCGCGAAAGCTCCATCCGTGGCGCGATGTTAACGACGACGCGGTTGCGCAGCTTTTCGTTCCACTTTCGTGACCGCCATGTCAAATAGCCAACCTCTCTCTCTCTCTCTCTCTCTCTCTCTCTCTCTCTCTCTCTCTCTCTCTCTCTCTCTCTCTCTCTCGTCTTTCTCTGTTTCTTGTCATTCGAAGCGTGTCCGCTACAGCGCACGGATTTTTTTTCTACACCAGTACCAGTACGAGCGCAGTTCTCGAATGTCGAGCAGATAAGCGTAAATAAAGAGAGAGAGCGAGAGAGAGAGAGAGAGAGAGAGAGAGAGAGAGAGAGAGAGACTCGCGCGACACCTCTTGAATGTCAATAATATATACCTTCGGGCGCGCAGCGTTGTCCATTATATACGCGCGTGCATTTTTGCGCGATGAGATAAGGCTATTAATATTGCGCGAGTACGAAAAAAATATGAGGAGACAACGTATTAACCGTCGCTTGCCCAGAGGCCGCCACATCCAGGAAATGTTGTGATACACGAGAGAGCTGCCTATCGATCGCATGGACGGTATCGCCAGTGCGCACACATGCGTACTTTCGTTTTTCTACGTATCTATCAAAACAAACAGAGAGAGAGAGAGAGAGAGAGAGAGAGTGAGGCGGAGGGAGAGGGTGAGAGACAGAGAGTGCGTGCTTGTATCTTAATGCGCAAGCGCGATGAATCTTACAGGTGTTCTATCATCACGCGGGCGATGGAGAATTTTTCTCGCGAGCTGTGAAAAGAAACCAGGCAAGCTGAACAAATCTACGTTTTCGAATTGCAAGGACTGCCTTACGGCCCTTTTTTACGTGAAAGAAGGAGGGATTATGTATATCGGTTGTTATTGTGGAGGCCCACCGAGGATTACGGCTAATGGCAAAGTCGTAAAGGTTGTCTCCGGGTGCATCTCGTCTGCTGGCTCTTTTGTGTCGAGGCTACCGAAAGAAGAGATACGAGAGAGGGGGGTCCGCGTGCTTCTTTTTTTTCACGAGAGAGAGCGAGAGAGAGAGAGAGAGAGAGAGAGAGAGAGAGAGAGAGAGAACGCGAGGAGTTTAGGCACACAGAGGAGTGGCGTGCGTGTCAGGAGATAAATCGTCAGATAAGCCCTCTCGCGGGACGAAAATACACGTATCGCCGCGCGCGAACCCAGACAAATCGCTCTCGACTAACTTGTTTCAATTTTTTTTTCTTTCCAGCGGCGCAAGCTTCGACGCTGCGGAACATTTAGAAACGATTATTTTAACGACTCCCCACCTCGATAACCTCGCGAGCGATCAATCTTTCGCCGCCGAGCGATTGCTTCTCGTAATTGTCCGACGCTTTTATGACGCGATTGTATCGTTCCTCGGAATATGATAATCGCTACGAAAAAAAAAAAAAAATTCTTGAGCTCGCGCTTCTTAATTGGCATTTGATAGATTTTCACTTGAAAGTCACTTCTCCTCGGAACTCCCGGCGAATAAATAAACAGCGACTCCCGGCTCACCCCAAAAAAAGTACTTGGACTTCTCCCTCTCGCACCCAAGAGGCTTCGAGCCAATGGGCGCGAGAAATAAGTTCTCCGCGCGCGAAATTTCAGCTGGGTTATTTCGGTGCCTTGCGAACGCGCGCGCGCACACTCGCACACGAACCGACGACGTCGTCGCGACGCCCGTCGGCAGCAGCCAGTTGAAAACTAGCGTCCGCGGTGGACGCAAGCGCGACGACGTCGCCGGCGCCGACGACGAACGACGAACATACGAAACCCAAATATCTAACCCTACGTATAATCGAACGAACAATCTTTCGCCTTTCTTTCTTGCTTTCTCTTGTAATTTTCATTAATCTCGTTACCGAATAACAAACTCACGAACCCTCAACCCCTTCCGAGACGAAAGATTAACGACAAGATATCGAACTTTTTGCAATTGAAGTGATCGAAATAATCAACAAATAATGGCAGCGACGACTTTGGACTCTATAGACATCGCGAACATCCTCGCGCAGGAGCTGCTATATCAGCAGGTATTTAAGCAGTCGGCGAGATCGATCGCAGAAACGGCGGAGCGCGCCAAGCTTCGAAGTGCTCTCGCGGAGAGAGCAATTTCTCCGCGCTCGGGTTGTGCAACGTTGTGCAACGAGCATTGTTTTGCGAGAAAAACTTTCCGCGCGAGCGAGGAGAACGACGGGACCCCTCTTTCTCGCTCTCGCGACGCGATACGCGCTGCGCCCTTTGTCTCCGCGCGAGCGCGCCTATTTATAGATGTTTCGCGCGAACGCGTATTATTGCATATCGCACGTGCGTTACTGTGAGGATAGAGAGAGAGAGAGAGAGAGAGAGAGAGAGAGCGAGAGAAAAAAAGAGCTGTGCCGGTCGAAACTTGCGCGACACGCGCGCACGTGTTCGCGCTCACGTTCGCCGTGCGACGATCGGGAGCAAGGTGAACGGCCAGACGCGATGAGCCGAATGCTCTCTTTCTCGCGCCCCAGCTTTCACTTCGTTTCGACTGTGCGCTGCCCCGCTGCTGCGCGTCGGCACGAGATAAGCGGCCCGCGCAATTGCGATTGATCGACGCCGCGAGCGCCCGTCGCGATTAGCTCGCGGTCAAAGAGCGAGAGAGCCCGTCGCCGCCGCCGCCGCCACCGCCGCCGTACCTTTGTCTAGCAACGGGCGACGCACAGTCGGCCTACTGTGCTAGTATCTCCGCGTTGCTCGATTCGGGCGTTTCGATGGCACTTCAATGAGGTGTTGGCGGCGCGCGAGCAGCTCGAGAACAGAGAGACGACACAGCTCTCGCGACGAGTCCAATTAAAGCTGCCTCTCGACTCGCGCGCGAGTCGCGTGTTGACTTAGCAACGCGAGTGAGTATATTTTGGCTGCTGATATCTGGCCCGCGCGCGCGTATTCTCGCCGAGTATCGCGTGGGCGTAAGCGCGCGCGCGTAATTTTAGCGATGACACTCGACCGGCGCAATGTGCCCTCTCTCTCGCGCGTATCCGAAGGGGGCGTTTACTTCGTACCTCCAGCGGTTCCTTGATCTCGGCAGGTACGTTCTCGAGGCCGCGCGCCCACGCCGGGCATTATTTTCGGTCGAGCCGTGCACCTCGGGCGATCGCGCGAGGCGACCGCTCGCGGAGCGAAATCGGCCCTGCAAGCCCACATAAACGAGCGACTTTGCAACGCCGACGCGCGCTGGCCTTGACGCACGCTCGCTCGCTCGCTCGCTCGCGCGCGAGAAAGAAGGAGTCGAGGCAAATTTAGCAGTGATACGCCTGCCCATCCTCGCCGAGTGCATTGCCTCGAGACACGCTTCTTTGTCAGAGGTTTTTGACTTTGGCGCGCGCGCCCGAAAGTTCTGGAACGGCCGCTCCTCGCCGCCGCCGCCGCCGCCGCTCGGCGAACAGACGCGCGCAGTCGTGTCCGAGCGTATAGTAACGATGACGCCCAGGGCCAGAGTCGTCCCCTTTATCCGCGTCGATCGTTATCGCGCCGGCTGTTCCCTCGCAGCTCGGCGGATCATCGATATTTATACGCGCGAAGCTTTCCCGCGAGGCCGAGTCGATTTTTTTTATTTTTATTTCGACATTCGCGCGTCACCTTTCGGGGCGGGGGCGGATGGGGGCGGTGCGCGCTCTCGTGCGCGGGCCCAGCGTCACTTTGTTTTGTTCGCCAGCGAACTCGTGCGTCGACGCTGAGGCTGCACTCCGGCAAGCCTACAGAAAATTGCCACTGGCTCGTTCGAGACGATGCTTTGTCTTGATTACACCGCCGTCGAGCTAACGTGTGCGTTATTCTTGCCATTTTCAGCTGGTATCGTCGCTGGACGGTCTGCACAGCGGGGTGCCGACGCGGACGACGCCGACCCTCACGCCGACGACGCTGCGCTCGATCGAGCAGGGCTACCTGAACTTGACCGGCGAGTCGGGCTCGCACAGTCGCGAGGCCGGTTTCGTGCCGCCTATCATCGAGCCATCGCAACCAACTCCCGCCCAAACGCAGAACAACAGCATTCACCTCCAGCAGCAGCCACAAATCCAACCGCATCAGCAACAGCAGCAACACAGTAACGTGTTGGTGGAGGTGCAGCAGACGCAGTTGCAAGTTCAGCAACAGCAGCAGCAGCAACAACAACAACAACAACAACAGCACCACCACCAGGACCAGCAGCAAGATCAACAGCAACAGCCCCAACTGCAGCAACAGACGAGACGCAACATGGGCGGCAGAAGACCAACTAGGACCGTTGGCATGAGTCCCGAGGAAGAGGAGCGCCGACAAATTCGCAGGGAACGCAATAAGATGGCTGCTGCTAGGTGCCGCAAGAGGAGGCTCGATCACACCAATTCTCTTCTAGAGGTGACAGCATTTTTTTTATTTTTATTTTGATCTTGAAAATGTCCCGAAGGACTTGCTTAGACCAACGTGAGAACGGAGCTTGAGATACGCGCAGAAGGTCCCCGCTCTTCGAAATGGGGATTATATAATGAACGACATTCTTCTGCGGGTACATAACAAGAGACTGCTTGAACTTTACTTGGCTAATCACGTAATTTTTTCTCTTCTCTCTCGCCTGACGTAAAGTCGTGCGATCTCGACGTAATAAACCTTGGCACGTACGATTATCCTACATAGTGTCGTGGAAATATGTTTACTGTGTTCTTGACGCTCGTGGCTAACGTTGGCTATTTCTCTTTGTGCTTTAGGAAACCGAGGGCTTGGAGCAGAAAAAACAAAGTTTACAGAACGAAATAGCCGAGTTACAGCATGCCAAAGACGAGCTTGAATTTATGCTCGAAGCACATCGCGCGGTCTGTCGTCTTCAGTCGTCCTCGCCTCCCGACGTCAAACCTGTAATCGACAAACAGCATCACGCGTTAGCACCAACGACGAACAACAACAATTTCCAAGCGGAGGACTTCGTCGACATCCCGTGCAACGTCAAACAACAGCCGAGCAACGAGGAACAACTCAATGGTTTACGGCAACTCAATCGACCCAACACGTTACCGATCTTCACCGAACCGAAACCACGGCCATCGAGTCTTCACATCAAGACCGTCGAGACACCGGCTTTTATGAAAACCGCTGCGGAAGTGGTTGGCGTACCGATCACGACGCCGTCCAGCGGTATACCATTCAATTTCGACTCGCTGATGGAAGGTGGTACTGGACTGACACCTGTTTCCACGCCATTGATACCGTCGTGCTCCAGTCAACAGAGGAACAACGTTGTCGTGTCCGCCGTCGATCTCAGCTCGCCCGATGCCAATCCACCCAAGCTCGTGAGTTTGTGACGCCAGGAGCACGTCGGCTATCACGCCGACGACGAACATTGACGGTCAGAGACGTTCTGCACCAATGCGTTGATTTGAGCATCGAGCCATATACAAATTTTATACCGCACCGTGGACCTGAGCTCTCCGTTGTGCTTTGATACGAGAACATGTCAATTTTTTCAGTATTGTACTTTGCGGAGCGCCGAGACTCTCTTTTCTCTCTCGGCCAGTTTTATACGCGTTTGAGAGAACAAAACAAGGCCTTCTCGGAGTTGTATTTTTTCTTGTTTGTTTGAGGCTACGTCGCGAGAGCCAGATTTATTTTTTTTTAATTCTCTCGCTTGGTGGAGAGAAAGACGAATGAAGCATCTTTGTACGATAAACAAAGTAGAAAATTTATGAAAAAGAAACAAAAAAAGTAATGAATATTGTACTATTTTTTGAAAAAGAATTGAAACGAGAAATAGTTATAACAAGTAAGATTTTTGTCATTTCTGAGATATAAGTGAATTTTTATATTTTTAAAGTATACCGAAAGCGCGAGAGACGAAATGATAGATGAAACTAAGGAGAAACAATTTTTAGCTGAAAATTTACTTGTAGTTCGTAAGCGAATCGTAAGCGAAAAAAATATAAGTATATAAGTTTTTTCGTTTTTTCGTGCATAGCCAATCGAATAGCTTAACGGATCGTCTTTCCCTAAAACTTAGTGAAAAAAACAAAGTATTTGTTTCGTGTATTAATGTGCAATTGTAAAAAAAAAATATCGAAAAACAAAGTTTCGATAAAATCTTGAAATTAATATCTATGCAATAATTATTGCATTATAGTGTCCGTAACGTGTTCTTTTGGCTTTGATTTATCGATTTTTTCTTGTCATTAAAAAACAACGCAGCCAAAGTGTTTGCGTGCCTCGATAGATATTGTGTAATGTTTAATCCCTCCATAGATTATATATGTATATATATATATATATATATATATGTGTGTGTATATATGTACATATATACATTGATTATATATTTTATAATGTACGACAATTTTTGCATGACCTTGAGCAATATTAATATATTTATACATATATGCGAAAAACTATCTCGCGACGCTTTGACAATTTCCCTTGTACATACGTGAAAGGAAGAAAAAAAATAAGGTGTATCGTCGAAGATAACTTCGCTCAATAGTTACGCTAGCAATCTCTCTCTATCTCTTCTACATAACTTAACTTTTAGCAAAACTCACAGGGGAGAAGTCGTCGAGCGTCGCGACGTGCGCACGAGGCTGCGAGATTAATTGATGATTGTGTAACGAAACAGTAAGGCGCCATCGACGATGCAATATATTTTGTTTAATTCAAACAGCCAATAAAGGCCTTGGAATTATACGAACATACCGACGGCTTATTTTTATCCCTGCAAAACCTTTCCTCGAACACCATATCTACTGTTTTTTGCAGTAAACAACAAAACTCGCAAGTTCATTAGAGCATTTAACGATTTGTCATTTTTATTTACATTTACAAGCGTTATAAATTATTAAATCGTTAGGCATATTTACAAGTAAAATTACACGTACTAGTTCCGACTTAGAAACCAGTTATTCTTTTGATAGCTGCTTGCTCATCCATAGTATTCATTGGTTGATAATGACTGAATTCCATCGAGAACGTTGCAGTTCCAGATGATAATATTCGAAGTTGTGTTGAATATCCCAGCAGTTCTGACAATGGAATCGAGCATATAACGATTTTATTCAAACCTCGAATGTTAATATGCTTTATATCCGCTCTTCTTCTTAACAAGTCTCCCAAGACTTGAGAAGAATTTTCTTCGGGAACGACGATTTCCATATTCATAATAGGCTCCAATAGAATTGATCCCGAATCTTCCATTAACTGCAAAAAAATTAATTTAAAAAAAAAATGCATTTTCAAACTGGAATAGTCAAAACCGACAACAAACAGATGAGCATCAGTCTTTCACATTTTTTATCGACGTATTTTAAAATTAAAGCTTCAGATTCGCCATCAAAATTTTCAAGAAATGTACATTAAGCTTAAAAGTTAATAAAAAAAGCATAACGGATGCAGGGGGGATACTTGTCACTATTTTACAGTATCAGTGATAATCCTTTGGAATATTGGAGTAAAGAAAGATCAAAAACAGGATCTGTCAAGAGAGTACTAGACGAAGATTTAAATGAAAATGTAGGTTACACAAACGACAATATCACGCAAACAATTCATCACTTATTGATAATAATGTTTTTCTCGTAGGTTTTGGAAATTCAAGATATGGACGATTCAAATTGTCAGAGAACATGGATCATGTGCCCACCTACTGCACAAGAAATTCTCAATATCCGATTATCCGTTCTTGTAATCATTCTTAAAAATCTGAACAAGCAAGTGCTAATTCAATTACAAATTGTGGACAAAAATAACGTGAGGCAACTCGTTAACATTTCCAATGTTGAAATAAAAAAGCCAACTTCGTTGACCAAAACGGCACCGCCGCGAATGCATCTGTCTTTGGAGCCGGAATGGAATAAACTCGAGATAGATTTAAACCAATTAGCGCAGTCGCTAAAAATAGAATTCGCGGCGATTTGCAGATTGAAAATTTACGCGTGCTGTCGGATTCGCAAAATTTACGTGGTTGACAAGCATTACGAAGATGATGAGTTGCCGTTGTCGCTTTATCAAGGCTTTCTCGATAATTATATGCTAAAGTGGGGAATTCAAGAAGTCGAGAGAGCAACGCAAACCAAAAAAACATTCAGAAATGCCGCCGCGAAAGATCCTAATATGCGTCTACCGCAGGGATTTAACAAGTTATTTTTAAAGAATTTACAGGTCAAGTCTGACAGAATTATAGAAGAATTTTTCTCCAGACTAGCGGTCAAGTCGGTTAAAGATTATCTCGATTTCAAACAAAAAGCTAAAATCAAACCGTATTACATTCCTGACAATCCGAAACTAGCAAAAAACCGTAAAAGCTCAGACTGCAGTTTGGTAGACATCGACGACATTAAGAAAAATATTCTGCGTGATAATTACTTTTACGGTAGATTGGCATTGGAGAAGAAAAAAGAGATAAAACCAACAGCTTCAGATCTAAACAAGGAAAAGGACAAACCCAGATATTCGGTCTACAGAACTCAACAATTTCGATACCCTGCTTTAACAATGAATTCAGTAAAACTTAATAAACCTCCAAAACATCCATTCCTAAGTAAAACAAACGAATAAGAAAATAAATTATAAAATGTAGCAAAATTATTTGGAAAAATAATAGGAAAAATATGCAATGTAAACCTGAAACTAATCAATGTCTAATAAATATTTTTTTCTAAATTATCTTTACTCACTTTTTTAATACATTGAGATACACTGGCAATTATAATTGATTCTGATGTTCCTCGTTTAACTTCAAACCAGTGCAACTTTACTCCAACATTTACAATCGGACAGCCCAATTTGGGTCCATTGGCAAAAGCAGAAGTAATCCCTTTCTTGATGGCTATCATATTCTTTGGATTTATACCAGCTATGTTAGCTGCACTATCTTTTGTGTGATCAAATAGAAGCTGTTCTTTGCCTTTATAGTTTGGAATGAGCGACAGTGTAATAGAGACTTCATGTTTTGTTTTATTAATTTCATGTTGTGCTGTGTATGTATCTTTCATGAGTTTCTCAATTGTCTCTTTATAGGCAATTTGTAGCTCTCCTAAATCCACATCAATTTTATATTCACTGTGGATTCTCTCTTTTATAATTTCAAGGTGCAATTCACCCATACCAGCTAAAATCGTTTGACCAGTTTCAGGATCATTATTAACTCGTAAACTTGGATCTTCTTTCACCAATTCTTGTAGAGCTATTTCCATTGCAGTGAAATAATTGAGTGAAGGAGGTTCAATAGAACAGAAAAATACTGGATCTGGCACGTTGGTTCCAATTGAAAATAATTTTTCAATATCTTCAGGAGTAAAGTTAGTCTTATTTTCCATGTATTTTTTAGCTTCAATAGCAGTAGATATTTTATTAGTTAACAAGTCACCAGTTATTGTATGTTTGAGACCGGTCACAGCTGCAATATTTCCTTCTCCAATTTCTGATATTTCTTCATAATCATCAGCATAAGCGGCATAAAGTTTTTGACTTTGTTCAACCTGTCCTCTTTGAATATTGTACAGTTTTTGGCCCTTTGCAAAATTACCTGTGTAAACACGAAAAAAGGAGATAGGTCCTCTTTGTTTATCATGAATAATTTTAAAAACTCTAGCCGACAGATTATCTCCAAAGCATTTGTACATTTTTACAAACTGATTGTTATTTGGAGTGGGTAAGTACAAAATTACATTATCCATTAAAGATTGAACTCCAATATTTTTGTATGAGCTTCCTAGAAGTACAGGCACTCCTTTATTTAACAATGTAACCCTTCTTAATGAATCAACTAAATCTTGACTAGACACTTTGTCTAATGAATCGTGTTCAATGACAGTGTTAGCTAATTCATCATCTACACCAGACAACTTATCAGTTAGATACCTACGACTTTCTATAGCTTTTTTCAATAACTCCTTATTGTCTTCTTCTTCAAGTTTTGTTTTTGTAATAATCCTTCCTTTTGTTTGCTGATCAAAAACTAATTTTTGAAGATTAATAACATCTATTATTCCAGCTAATCCTGTCTTATTTTTGTATGGTAGTTGTACTGGAAATGTAAGAGCAACTAATTTTGTTTCAATAGATTTCAAGCACATATCAAAATTTGCATCAGCTCTATCCATTTTATTTACATACACTATCCTAGGTAACTGATACCTATCTGCTTGTCGCCAGACTGTTGAAGTTTGTGCTTCAACACCTGCACTACCATCAAGAACAACAACCACTCCATCCAGTACTCCAAGAGTTTGTTCAACACCCATAGTGAAGTCTATATGGCCAGGAGTATCGATCAAGTTAAATCGATAATTTTTCCAGTCAAATGTGACTGCAGCAGAACAAATAGTAATTCCACGCTCTCTTTCCTGTTCCATAAAATCTGTGACTGTATTACCATCATGAACTTCCCCCATTTGCCTTATAATTCCAGAATAAAATAACATTCGCTCTGTTGTTGTTGTTTTTCCTGCATAACGTTACAAAGTAGAATTAAACATTGCAGATCTAACCTCCACGGAAATAATTTTCATTTACTTTTAGCAAACATTTGTGAGGTATATGAAATATTATTACTAATTAATTTTTTATAATTATAAGCATGGCTTTTACCTGCGTCTATATGCGCTAATATACCGATGTTTCTTATTTTTTCGAGACTGCATTTTTCACTTGCAACCTTTGCCGCACTTTTATTTTGATGTAACGCCCGTGGACGTAATGTAAAAAATGATGGTTTTACAACATTTCGAAACAACATTGTTTTATCCCACAAAACAATATAATATTCAACGATATTTTTGATGTAATACCGGCGACATCATGTAAAATGTGAAATAAACACCCACGTGAGTTTGAGTGTAGCATTTCATCTATAGTATAACAGACCATCAGTAGATAACTTGTGTAGAAATTTATATATTTTATATTATCAAGTGATATATATTAACTAATAAATTTTACAGATAAAAAAGAATAAATGTAACAGGATCAGGATACGTTATTGAATTTTAGTTTAAAAATTAAATGCAAAACGAATTTTTATCTCTTCAGAGTGTCAAATAAAAAATTTTTTTTTAGATATTACTACATCTACTTTGATGATAAATCAATTGTCTGTTAAAATTAGAATGAAACGCTTTTCAGTGATTTTTAATACAAACTGAAATTATATTTATGTTGTAAAGAGCTTTAAGCAAAGTATAACAATACTTTTTTGTAAATATGTACAATACAATGTATCTAATTTTAATAATATCTCTGCTTGATAGTATTTTCACAATAATATTGGTTGTATTTTTTCCAATCGCGTCTTTTCTTTGGATCCATTTTACATTGTTTGGGTTTTAATGTACCCATCAACCCTTAAAAATGCAAGATAAAATTAGTTATTAAATAATTTGTATTCAACTTGTACATTAGATGTACATACAGATATATACTAACCAGCTTTGTGAGCCATAGTAACCATAATGCCAACTCGTTTTTGCTGTACATAACATAAACCTGTTATTCTTCGTGGCAACATACAACCATCTTGTCTCACAAACTGTTTGAGAATGAGGACATCCTAAGCACATGATTATATTGTAGTTAATGAATAATAATATTATTATAACTCTTATTTCTCATCAACTTTAAACTTGGAACTCACTGTGTGCTTTACATCAACTCCAGCAGAACACATAGGACACGCTCCATTTTTAGGTTTCAACATTAAATGTTCTTTTGGATCTGCATATATAATACCTTCTACTATTGTTGTATTGCCTTGTTTTGTTTCTCTGACTGTAAAAAAATGATGTAATTTCTGTTATCTATGTTTTAAATTACTATTGGTTATCAAAATTAACCTAAATAAAACTTTTCTCAAAGTATATTCATCAAAATGAAATGAATTAATTGTTAAAGTAAAACGAAATAGTAAATACTCACTCTCTTTTAAATTTCTTGCTGCAGATAATGAAATACTTCTACAGATATCATTAGAATATAAAGTTTTTGTAAAATTCGTAAACAACCGAAAAATTGCCATTGTAGTTTAAAAAGAACTAGGCGAACGTATAGTAAGGTTATAAAATCTCCAGCAAATATTTATTGCGAATAAATAATTAAGGCTCTACTTATGTATTATGATACTCAGATGTAATACAACAAATTAACTTTTTATTATTAATTTATTATTTCATTCATTGCATGTTTTTCGAAAAACGTCAAAACACCGACAAACATAGTAAAAACTATTAACTCCAGCTGATTGGCTTGTTCCATTGGATCAGTGAACGTTGGGTCCGCGAACAAGACGACGTGGCCGCAAAACTGCATATATACACGGTACTGTTAAAAATAACTTAGTGATTGATAATTGTTAGGAGAAAAACAAAATAACCGTCATGTGAAATCGTGGATGTAATTTTGCCAACTGATTGCAATTATTTTATTCCAGTAAAAGTTAAACTTTTTATTTATTTTAGTTCAGAAACTACTACACCGGTCGACAAAGAAAATGGGTCTCTGCAAGTGTCCCAAAAGGAAAGTTACAAATCAATTTTGCTTCGAGCATCGTGTGAATGTTTGCGAACACTGTATGGTCACAAATCATCCCAAAGTAATATTCTTTTGTTTAATTTCTCGATCTCTATCCATTTAAAACTACAATAGAACTCATATAAATACATAATAATCTACATTATATGTAACAAAAATGTTGTTTTATCAGTTAAAATTTGTAATTATTATTTATTCAATCAGACTTATTATTTTTTGCATAATCACAATACCCTTACTTGTTTAAATTTAGTAGTAGCGCTTTTATAGATAGATGATGACTGATTCGATAACATGTTTTTCTAGTGTGTGATCCAATCATATATACAATGGCTACAAGATAGTGATTGCAATCCTATCTGCACATTCTGCAATGAAACATTGGTCAGCAGGGAATGTTGTCGATTAACATGCTATCATGTCTATCATTGGGGGTGTCTGGATGCTCACTGCAGAAGTTTACCAGAGTCTACAAATGCTGCAAATTATGATTGTCCAACATGTAATACTCACATCATTCCACAGCCAAATTTGGTATCTCCTGTAGCAGATGTGCTGAGAGAAAAGCTCAATGGAGTCAATTGGGCAAGATTAGCTCAAGGACTTCCTTTGGTAATGCAAGAGATTAATTGTTTTAGCCAAAATGACATAAACATTATTTTTAACTTGGACTGTATTATTACATTTTAGTTGAGTTTTGATAGAGAAGAAAAGCCGAATCAAATGTGTAATGTTATGGAATCTGACAGTACTCAATCAACTTCATATCAGAATCATGTTTCAACTTCACTGGCTACATCCCGAGCAAGCAGTATAATGACATCTCCTAATACCATTTCAAACAATGCCGCTAATCAGAAACTGGGACCTCCATACTCTGTCGTCAATATGGAATCACCTTCAGTCATGTCTAATAATCCAACAGCAAGAAGAGTGTTTGAAGCCTATGACGATCCAAAGGATTTTTCTTTTGATCACGATGAGAACAAATATCAGAGAAAATCAGCGATAGAATGGTTTCTTAGATGGTGGAAAATGATAACAAGAACTCCTGCTCCTAGAAGAAACCCTTCAGGATCACTGCACAAACGATATGCTACTCTGGTTATCATTGGAATTTTCCTATTCGTCATAATCATCATGTTGTTCTCATGGTTAGGAAGAATGGCAACTGATGGAGACCCTTCATATGATCCTATGAATAACCCCATGATTAGGGTAGGAAACGAGCATCAGTCTAACTAATTGTATATATTGCGCTGTTATTGAGATAAAAGCTTGCACTGTAAGAGTGGAATAATGCACTTACATGTGCAAAATCATAAAAAAATTTATTGTAGTGATGAAGAAACGAGATTTTGGTTTCATTAATTGGACAAGTTGATAGTAAACTGTTTTAAAGTCTTCTTACGTATTGCTCTGAAAGATTGTACGTAAGCAAGACCTGTTTAATTAAAACAGAATAAGCAAATAACATGTATAACGTTATATTTAACTTAACTAATTATAGTGTCATTTATTATTTGTTAAAGTATGTTTGAAAGTATAAAATAATTGTAAATGATATTCGTTGTGATTCTATAACTTTTTTGTTTTTTTTTACCGGTACAATATAAATTGGAACACTTGAGAGTGGTGACAACGCGATTTGTATAACGTGAAATCATAGAAATGTTAGAATTATATACGTGTAGATGAGTGGTAGCAACATTAATTATATGGAATATGTACATAATATAGTAACATTACAGTAAATGCTTATGGAAATAAGACTAGCTATAAACGAAAATGTACGAAATAAGTCTAGTTGAAAAATGGAACTATTTGCATAAATTTTAAATGATTTCATAAAAATCACCAGTATTCTTTATTCCAATTCTAATTTAATAAAATGATGTAGTTTGGATTGAACGATATATCGTTTGACTTGCGTTAAGCTTGACTATTGCTCTTATTTCTGAAATGACGAATTATAATTGAAACGAAAAAAGAAGGCTAGTTCAAGGCTCAGTGCTCGAGCATGAAAAAGACGCTTAACGCGCGCATATCTAACAGGAGATCTTTTACGTATACTTGGACTCTTATACCTTAGAAGAGGAAGGTCAGACGATCAGTAGAAATAAAAAAACAAGCTCTGAGGATACGGAGTGGGGAGCAACCCGTCGAGTCGGTATATTTTTTGGGCCTCACAGCATTCGGCTCCGAGTCCTCGGGCGCGTAGTTAGTTTTTCATTTTCCTTGGAAGGTGCGCGTGATCTCGAAACGATGTCCTGCGGCTTCATCGGCAGTGTGCAGCCGAGTCGCAGGTGGCAATTGGAAACGATTCTCGCAGCCGCCTCCGTAGCCGCCATAGGTAAGATCGACCGATAAGCGGTCTACAGACGCCTCGCGGCGCGACTCGTTCGACTCGCAGGAAACGACGGCTCTTCTTTCCAGCACCGTCAGCTTTCGTAAGTGGAGCTCTCGGGGTCCCCGTTAAGATTTGCCACTGCGCACTACGTATAGCAGGCGCTAGCTGTGTAAAACAGGTGTACGTTTGCTCTTGCGAAAGCTATTGCCGCCAGCTCGAAGGCTCGAAGCTCCTCATCTCCATTCGTTGCTCGCGTTCGCGTCAAGTGCCTCGGCCCGTAACGAGGTCCGCCTGGCCGTTCGCACTCTCGAGTTGTCGTCTCGTTGACGACGAAGTCCAATGGGTCAGCCGCAGCCCTCCCGAATGACCATTGGTTGTTTCCACAGCATGCGCGTACCGTTTGTACGGCTCGTGGAGTGCAGCCGGTCGTCGAGCTCTAGCTCCAGAGCAAGTGGTCGCGATCACGGGCTGCGACTCCGGACTGGGTTACAGTCTTGCGCTGCACTGCCGCGAGCAAGGCGCGACGGTGGTCGCCGGCGTGCTGCAGCGCGACGGACCGGCAGCCACGTGCCTCGGTAAGCGGGGAGTGAGAGTTCTGGCACTGGACGTCACGGAGGAGGCCAGCGTTCGGACTTTCGGCAACGAGCTGACCAGGATGCTGGACGACGAGCATTTGGGTAAGACGGACCACGAAGGCTTTGCTCGCGAATGGCGGAGAACGATATTGTGCTAGCTCGATCGCGTTGCGGGTCTAGTTGCGTTGCTAGTCGAGGCGCGTGTGCTATCTCTCGAGAGTAAGCAGCTCGATGCGGCGATTAAATCGAGCGCGATTAACTAGTGATTGCGCGATCGAAAGTTTTTATTATTGTACACAACTTGATGACCACTGGAATTCGATTGCGACATAGACGATTCTCGAAAGTACGATAAAACCTACGGTTTCATTCTCCGCCCTACTATCTCGTTCGGCTTTCAATAGCCACCGACCTAATTTCATTCAAATGCCTATCATCAGCCAATTACCTTTACCTTTTCTTACCGCAGCGATAACCGAGCTTTCGAGTTATCGTTGAGCTGTGGATGAGCCGACGAAGGAGCTGATGATCGGTCCAAGATCCAAGTCTAAGTCCAAATGTTTTTTTTATGATTTTTTATCGTGTTTCATTGGAATCGATAACGTTTGAAGGTGGCAAGCGTGTTTGACAAAAAAGTGACAACGCCAACGAATCGCTGATCGAGTTGTCGCCTCAACGACAGTCGAAGGCGCCATGAATAGTCTTACTGGAATGATGCTTTATATCGCAGAACTGCGCGCGTTGGTGAACAATGCCGGGGTGATGATATTCGGCGAGTTCGAATGGCAGCTGACGAGGCAGGTGAGGCACCAAGTGGAAGTAAATGTCGTGGGCACAATGAGGCTGACGAGAGAGCTGCTGCCCGAGTTGAGGAAGCACCGCGGCCGAATTATTAACGTGACGAGTCACTGCGCGCTCGCGTCGCTGCCCGGCCTGGCAGTTTACGGCGCCACCAAAGCGGCTCTGCGAGCCTGGACCGACTCGCTGAGGGTCGAGCTCGCCAAGTACGGCGTCGGCGTCGTCAATTTCATACCCGGTGAGGATGGGACAGGCAACGTGTCGCGCTAACGATTATCGCTCGTCATTTATTCCTCTCGTCAGCCGCGGTTTCCTCGCGCAAAAGCTCATGGCACCAATCGCTTCCCACGCAGGTTCCTTTCCCACCGAGAGCAACATCTTCTCGCAGCAGTCGCGCCATTTCGACGAGATGCGCGCCGGGATGAGCCAGGAGGCGCGGCGCTTTTACGCCGACTACTTCGACAGGTACGCCGGCTACTTGGCCGCTCTGGCCAACGACAACGGCCTGCGTCGCCTCGAGAATGCCAAGCTCTACGAGATCTTCGACGACGCTCTTCTCAGCCAGCGGCCGTCGGCTCTCTACAAGTTAGTGGCGCTCTGAAAATTGCCAAATCTCAATATTACGCCATGATTATACCACGAGATTATATTGCTCGTCTCCGGGATTGAATTCGAGGATCGTCGAGATAGCGCTGGATTTCCACTTGAACAAGGAGAGCGAGTCGTTCACTTTACGGTTGGGCAATGTTTCCACGTTGTGGCTGATCGATTAATTTGTTAATCGTTTCGCTTGGTCTCTGAGTAATCGGAAAGAGAAAACGCTGAGCATGGTTCCTCAATTGCTACGCGAATCATGTCGCGCGTGACTGCTCGATAAAATCCTTCGCAAAGTAAGTCCAACTTTTCTTCCAAGATGTCAACCACTCGAGCAAAGCTCCGTACACGCGATTCCGCGCTTCGCAGAAAAGTGGAACGATAGGTGCCTTCCGATAATGATTGGCGCCACTCGATAAAGTTCGTCGAATTCAATCGCCGTGCATTGCTGGGGAATAGGGAACAGCGGCGCACACTTACCGGTGACACACGAATGTCGATGTTTGCGCAGGTGCGAGCCTTGGCGATATACCATCTACCACGCGCTCTTTCGAGTCGCACCGACGCCGCTTCGAGATTGGTTGGTCGAGAGGTTCGTGCGGATGCCCAGCTGGACGTCCGTCAGACGGTGAGCCGAGACGCTTGCGAGCTTGCAGGCCTGCACTGGCGCTCATCCCATCTGCGACGACGCTGCTGCAAATGGAAGGACGTGGTTTTTAGCCTGGTGGACGGTGTAATTTTTCGGGATTGCGAGCTGCGATCTCGCAAGCTCTTCGGCGTTTTCGGTCAGTCTCCATCGCGGCGTATTTTTCGTTACAGCGAAGCGAGCTACTGTATCACGCGTCCGACTGCAATTTTCCATTGACGAAAGCAATTCTTTGTGCGTTGCACATTGTAGCGAAGTGTAAGTCTTTTGCAAGACGAGCGACGGACTGGTTTGTCAATCTTATGTGGAATAAAACGAATGCGAGTACTGGTATCGACGACACGGAGTCTGCGCATTTTCATTCGACACGTTTGTCGATTAGATTTTGGGCCGCCGATGGTGCTCGTTACATTCCAGATGCTCGAGCAGAATCAAGCAGCTACGAGCATCGGCGTAGCGAAGGTGCATCGATCGCGCGGCGCAATTTGCATTGCAGCCACTTTATCTTGAAAAGGAACGCTCTGTCCGTGCAGACCGAGCTCCGTGCGCACACGATGCGCAGGGAGTGAGTCACGAGCGAGTGTCATCCGATGCACGCGTCGCGCGTAATTTTGCTCGGCCGTCGCCCGAACGCCAGCGCGAGTCTTACTCACTCCGCACTCTCTCTCTCTCTCTCTCTCTCTCTCTCTCTCTCATTCCGCGCTACCACGGAGCACCATCACGGAGGCGCGAAAGGGAGGTGCGCTTAGGAATGTTGCTCCCGTTTTGTCGCCACGTGGAGATCGATAAAAGACAATTACATGGCTGCGCACGCGAGGGAGAAGGTGAAGCACCGTTCCGTGAAAAATGATCGAACGCCTTCGGTTGATCGTGCTGATTAGATACAGGCCTAGCCTTAAATACGCCTCATACGGCCGTTCACTCGCATACACTGTTTTCGGCGGACGCGCGTCAACAAGTTTTTCACAACATGAAGCTCATCTGTGGTAAGTTGACTCTTTCCCTTCTCTTTTACGCTTGTTCTTGCCACGTTGCGTCGAGGCGCTAGCTCATGTTGGTGCATCCACGATCGGCATCGTGATTTCGCGTGGCTCTTCCAAAAAAAGTATGATGTTCGTTCCTCATTGGCAATAATAACACTGGAATCCAATAAAACTTTCGTCGAGCCTCGTTATTGCGAGTCTCCCGTGGCAACTGGCACGGTTGACGAGCGAGCGATGCCACATCGCGAACAAATCACGACGTTGATAATATTTTAACTGGCACTGGAAAGCGTCGATCGAGCTGCGCTTGGAAGCTAATGTCAGGTGAACGACGCTCCAAATGTGACTTAGCTTCGGTTAAACGACAATCGCGATCATTCTCGTTGAAGGATTCATTCTCGCCGCCATGTTGGTGGCATCGCCGAGCCAAGCAACGCCAGTCAAGTCTTGCGACAGAGGAGCACCGCCCAAGGAAGTGAGGATCGACGGCTGCGACAAGCTGCCTTGCCAATTCGTGAGGGGCAAGAACATCACCGCTGAGTGGGACTTCGTCGTCGGTATGTTGAGTTTGCCTATTTTGACGCCATTAGCGCGACGAAAGAGGCGCTCGAAGCTCGTACTTGTCGCCTAACTCCTGGTAATTGTTATTCATTTGCGCGGCCGACCGACCCGAGTATGCGCGTAATTGCGCGAGTGCAGCGTTCGAAAACAATCGGCGATCGAGCGTGGTCGCGAGCTGCAACGCGAAGCTCAGCCTCCATCCTCCGTCGCCACGGAGTATTAGGCTATTCGAGAGAAAACGGCCGGTCGAAGTTGCTCGGACCGACGAGCCGTCGCGAGTTCTCCACGATAGACTGTCGCGACTGAAAGCTTGCTTGATTTGGCATTGCAGAGAAAGACACGAAGATACTGACGCCAGACGTGCACGCGACGGTCTTCGGTAACACGGTGAAGTACCCGTTCTACCAGAACAACGCCTGCGACACGCTGAAGGACGCCAAATGCCCGCTTGACGCCGGCGAGGAGGTGACCTATCAGCTGAACATGTTTGTGGAGACAACTTTCCCCAAGGTACCGCTCGACATCGAGTTCGCCTTCCTCGACGACCACAGCGAGACCGTCGTCTGCTTCCAACTTTCTGCTGAAATTGTCGACTAGTGAATCGCAGCCACGGACGCAGCTGCTCAAGTCCATCGTAAGATCCTGCGCCTGCACACCTGCTATCATTTGTCAATTAGATTATCTGTTAATCATACGCGAGAGTGATTGTCGAAAATACAAGATTTTAACTCTTTATCTCGCATCGTGATCTGTAATCTCAGCCTTATCGGTCTCACGTGTGCCGTGTGTACTTTCGTTTACAACGCACTTTCGTCGTGCATCCCGAGTCTCGTCGCGTATCTCGCTCGGTTGCGCGATGATATAAGCGCCGTCCGACTAATTGGCCAACGACACTGCTGAGGACGCGCGAGCTTGGCCTCGTTACGCAACGACCAGCCCGTTCGCCACTCGCCTTCTCACGGACGAGGACCGAAGAAGCTGGATGGACGCTTGCGCTCTCGTGCGGCAGAGCCGCAAATTGGGGGATCCGCGCTGTGGCAAAGGAGAACGCCCGCGAGGCCTGCGAAAATAGCCGGGGAACGTTGTAAGCCCGAGCGGTAGCTCGGTAAAGGTGCTCGCTGGCCTACGTGCCCTTTCTCTCTCACTCAGATCAGTGATCACGAGTCCGCGCGCGACTATCCTCTCTTACCGTCATCCTACGCCGTTCCCATCCCGATGCTCTATTTTCCCAATTAATGTGGCTAGTCCAAATATTCGCTTCTCCTCCGATGCCCCCTTTCTTTCGATCTGTCGAGTAAACTGAAGTTCTCGAGACGCGTCGCAGGAAACTCGGAATTCCGGAGGGTGGCTTCCTTCGTGCGCTCGAGAACACGCGCTCCTTTCGCCCGACTTGGGTTACGCTGGCGCCTCTCGTCGGTGTGAACTTGTTTTCTCGCGACCAGCACTTGTCTCTCTCCCCGAGTACATTTGCAAGAACCCGCTCTCGAGTGCTTCTCGCGATTCGTATGATTATTTCACGACTCGCCAAGTTTCGATTACACTCGACGTCGACGAAGATGAAATCGGATTCACAAAGCGCAAGATTGGAAAAGCGGAAAAGCACGGGACGCTCCGTCGGTCTGGCCGCAATAAAAATCCAATCTTCGCGAAGCAGATCGAAGGTGTGCTTAATGGAAAAATGTCACTTGGACAAAGAAAAAGAAAACACTTTTTCAAATTCCAAGCTGCGAGGACTTTATCGGAATCAATTGGTCACGCGGTACACGTGCAATTCTTAATCCCTCTTGGTATCGTGGATGAAAAAGCGCAGCAGCTCCTTCGTTAAATCAACGCGGTTCTTTTTTCTCCGCTGTATCCGCAAAAATTAGAGTGTATCAGTCCGATACACGCTGGACGCGAGAGAAAAAAAGCGAGGCGTAGGTGATTTGCCACGCATGCTAATAAAGCGAAAGCTCGGTTTTGTGCGATAATCTCGATGGACGAGTTTCTCCCGCAAATTCCATTGACGCGAGCGAACGAGCACTGATTAACTCCATGGCCCGTGGATCGATATAGAAAAATTTGGGCGATTCACTGGCACGGCAGAGACCGATAAACGTCCCACTACTGCGGAATCGACGACCTTCGGGCGAAGTTGGCGAGCTTTCTCTCTCTCTCTCTCTCTCTCTCTCTCTCTCTCTCGGGAGGCAGATTTTCGCTGGCGAGCGAAAGGGTATACCCTTTCTCCGGCCAAATGGGATTCTAATGCATTATACGTCGAGGTTGACGACAGACAGAGTATACCGCATACTCGAGATTACTTCTGCCAAGCTCGTTGTCCTCTTTGAGCGTCGGGCTTCGATCGGCACCTTACTGGACGCGATGACGTCACGTTCCGACGACCAACATCGGAAATTCGAACGGCGCGCGCGGCGCTGCTTTCCGATTACAGAGAGAAGCCACGCGCGATCTTTCCACGTTGCGCGAGAACTGTGAACTTCTGTACTCCCGGTGGGTTTGCCAGTGGCTGACTGTGACGTGACACCGAGCGCACAGAAGGACGCCAATAATTAGGAGAAAGTACGCGCGCATCTCGCGACAGGAAGTCGCTTGTTCGCGTATGCATATACGCCGCGCGCACATTCGTTTCGCATGGCAACTCGCGCTAATGAATTGTCATTGCGCCCGCGCATGTCACAAATCGCAATCGATGCGGTGACACTCGAAAAATAGCCTGATCGAGTCGCGCGCGTGGAAACTCAGCGAACGATGATTTGGGTTTCACGATCGTTGCATCGTCGATATATTTGCAGAGCATAACGCGCTAAAAATGAACGAGATCGACATTGCCGATCAATAATGAATGTACTTTAGAAGTGACGATACGCACAGCTTGCAGCGTCAACTAATTAACGACATTATCGACGTCACGGTGCAACCTGCAGCACCTCGCACTATTGCCAATTATTCGAATGGCTGTTGCTGCCGATCGCTATTGATCGCGTTGGCAGCGCCGGCAAGTTCTCACCTCGACGAGTACAGTTATCAAGTTGGAAAGGAAGGCTCGCGGCACTCCGTCCAGACTGATTTATTTGCCGAAGTCTTCTCTCTCGGTCATCTGGGAAATTGCCCGTCCAGCAGCTCGTCCATCGACCAGTTATCAGCGAGCTACAAGCACGAGGAAACGCTCTTGATCGGTGGCCAGTGGTCTGCGAGGCAACTTTTGACAGGCGATAGTTTGCTGATGGCTGATACACAGAACGCCAATAAGTTGAAGTTCACGGGTTATTCGGATTTCGTGGATAGATGTCCTCGATACGAACGGTCACGGTTATTACGATGAGACTTTGAGCTTCCGCTGCTTTTGGGCAAGATCATGTCGCACTGTAGAAATACCAAACTAAAGAGGGAATCGCGATCTGACGAAAACATCGCTAATCGGATACATTTATTCGTGACTTGTGAAAACACCAATGGGTGGCAGTCACGCTCGACGAATCAGCACACTCTTTCCAGTTTTATAATCGTGGCGAAGGTCAAATAGTTTTTGGCAAGACTGTGATTTCGTCGGGAACAGCTGTTGCCTCGCTAAAGGCTTTGAGACCTGGCAGGATTTTGCTGACAAGAGAAGCGACCGGTACGATTTAGTTAACCGATGTACGAAGCGTTGTTATATTAGCAGCGTGCCACAGTGTCGACGGCGATGGGTTATACTTTTTGAATAAAAAAATTCATAATTTATTCTTGAAGCTTACTGGGAATAGTTTGTAAGATTTAGTACATATGCAAAAAATCATTATTCCAGCAAATCTACCGGCGTTATTGTTTCATATTTAGTCGTGTATGTTGTAAAACGAAACTGTATTTACTGCTCATCTTCACTTCGATTTGGGACACGATACAAGCATTCACCTTAAAAGTTACAACGCAAATTGCCGACAGTCCGAATAACGAGAAAACGGCTACCTTGAAAAGCAGCAAGTTTCGAAAAAGTAGAGGAGGAGTGTTCGCTACAAGCGGCATGACTGGTTCCGAATAGCGGGTCAACGAAATGAGAAATGTTCGCGCGGTGGTTAATTTAAGCGTAATTAAACTACACTAATAGACACACTTCCCCAGTCCGATGTACTCCATTTATATTTTTATTCGCGAGAAGGCTTTTCTGATCGCCGCTCATTTCCACCTATCCACGTGCTTTAATAATTTGCACCAAGCAATTTGCAAGAGAAGCCCATAAACAACGCGATAATCGTCGCTTCAATCAATTTTCGACCCGGAACTTCCTGCGAAAATAAAAATTATCCCGTCAGGATGATCGCTGTACGTTTCACTGCGCGCTAAATCGCGCGATAACAGTTTTCAAACTCGAAGAAAAAAAAAAGTGGCATACCGCTTGCCGAAAACTGCGAATCGGCGAAAATTAATAAACCTTGATTCAGGAGTACGCGCGATAGAATTGCAAATTCCATTTACAATAAATCGAACGCTTTAAGAAGAAAAAAAGCTTTACCGAAGGAAAACCTCGAGTTTGCCGTGACGCAGCGTACGTACACGTGCGTATTGCCGACGCGAGACTCCAGACGGCGTGCAGCAGTTAGAAAACCCGGTGGAAGAGCAAGCACCATGAGAGAGAAAAAAGAATCGAAAAGGAGAAAAGAAAGGGGGGAGCTCGATCGTCCGTCTCTCTCGTTCCCCCTCACCGTTAACATTCTTTGTCGCGCTCGCTCACGAGTGCGGCAAGAAATATAAGGAGGAGGGGGTAGAGAATCGGTGAACCTGCCTTTGCTCGAGCCGGCCGTGGTAAAGAACGACAGAGACAGACAGAGTGATCGCGTATACACAGGCGTGCCCGCAGAGCGACCGTAACGTTCGCCACGGTGATACGATGTATGTGCGTGTTTATGTAGTGACCATCGTAAGCAAATCTCCTTAAAGAATAAATTTGTTGTTACTACGGCTGATTACAGTGTGAGTTTTCTACTGCGAGGATCGGCGAGCAAGAAGTTTCGTCGTCGAGAGTGCGCGTCACAGCCTGTTCTTTGCTTCGAATTCTTTTTTTATTTTTGTTTAGCTCTACGTAACAAGGAGAACGAGAGGTGGTGCTTATTTTTTGAGGTTATAGGCCGATCGAACGCAACCGGCCAACAGCTCGCTGGAGATGGCGTCGAAGAAAAGTGATGCCTACGACGTGAGTACCGTAGGAAATGTTACCACACATCGTTCACGAAACTTTTGTTACATGCACACCGACATCAAAATGTACCTCGATCACACGATGAGTAGGTATTGCCCCGTGAAACAACGGGCGTGGCACCTTTTTCAAGGCCAGCCAACACTATGTGGACGATCACCTCGCATTTACCGATGATACCGCGAGGTTAGGTGATGTGCTGCATGTATATGTATCTTCGGTTCGCTTAGTCGAGTGCTAGAGGTTTGGAAATCGCGCGTCGCTGCGCGATAAGCTACGCCAGGGCCGTCACATGGAAACCACACCCTGAATACGATGTGTTTCCGATTTTTTTGACTGATCGTCGTGCTTTTGACTCATTTCCCTACGACTTTTGAAACGTTTTATTTTTATGCGACGGTTACTTCTTTGGGTTTCACACTCATATGATATTTTTAGAAGGAAGGTGATTGATATTTTTAATTTCATTGAGTGACGAATTGGTGGCTTATATTATTTCTTTTTAACGAGGATAGCTAAATGACGTAAACAGTCGATAGGAAACT